CTAACTGGGATCCTTACTGGACACTGCCAACTAAAATGAAACCTTAGTAAACTGAGAGTAGTAGAAGATAGTGCAGATTTTGTGAGGAGGAGGAAAAAATCTTCATTCACATTCTAACTAAATGTGTAGCACTTCAGAATCCAAGGGCACTATACCTAGGAGCATATCAAATAGAAGAGGGAGATTTACCTAACTTGAAGCCACTCCAAATCCTACACTTCCTTGAGAAGATATAATTGGAAGGATCTTTATTCGCGATTCAAGCTAAGTGATACGCCCTCTGGAGGAAATTTGTAGAAGGTTCCTATAAGTAGGATATCGTTCAGTGTTGCCAGAAGTAGCAAAATTTCGCTACGTCGTCGGATTTTAGCTCTTGAAGAAGTGGATAAGACCTTTTATTTAAGAATTAAAATTTGTGTATAGTAATATGTAATCATACTCTATATTTATTTAAGGACTTTTTTATAAAACCGATTTATTATATTAATTTTTTTTTTTAATTTCAGTTCATTTATTAATTTTGTTTTAAAATCAGTTCATCATTTGGCAACGAGTTCATTGTTTACATTTTAATTTGTATCAATTACAATTCGAGTTTTTCTTACTTTTTAGCTTTAAATTTGTTTATTTCTTATACTTAATATGTGATAGTGTTTATGTTAAAAATGAAATCTGCGAAAAAGTCCCCAGCAAATTGCAATCTATATGGTGTTAATGTCGAAATCAAAACTGAAGTATTCATTATTTTCCAAGTGCAAGTCGTAAAATTTAGTTTTTTACCATAAAAGGATATCTGCAAATTCACAATATTGAAATTTTGCAAAACTTTGTTTAGAATCGATATATGATATTTTATCCATTTTCATAGATTCGCCAGAATTTTTTTACTTAACTTCAGTAGGTATACCTCTAGAACTATTATGACTAGGGCTAGGGCTTTAGCCCCCCCAGATCTGATGACATAACTTCGCCCATGGGAAAGCATTTAAAAATTTCATGATGAGTTAATATTATCTTATTCGAAAGTGCAAACAATAATTAGTAGGCCTGTGGAATCAAATATTTTATTTATTTTTTCAGCCTGGAAAACCGGTGAATAAAGAAATTTTAATTGATTTTTAAATGTTTATTTTATGAACAATCTTGTTATTTCCAAATGGTTTGGTTGGTCTTGGCCCAATAAAACGATTGATGAGAATTTATTTCTTAAACTGTAGACGTTTAAACTATTTATTTAAACTAATTTTACCCTAAGCTCCCCCTAATTAACCCGTCTATGAAGGTGATCAAAAACTGAGGTTTAGCCCATTAAATATAACGTAAAAAGTTTAGAGTCTGTACCGAATTTCATTTATTTATCTTTAAACGTTTAGAAAATATTTACAAAAATGTGTCATCAGGACTTAACTTTTAACACCCTGTTTCTTGAAAACGAAACGTTTTCAGACCTATGTTTAATCCTATTTTAGCATGTAGTTTACGCTGCTAAAATATGATCGTCTAATTTCAGGACACCCTGTATAAGTATATTATATCTATAATAGTAACTCACTGTAAATATCTTTCAATTCCTTTACTACATGTTCTAAATCATTACTAGCACTTTTCATACCATATGCAATGTTTGATAGATCTTTCATTGTGCTCAATTTTCCAGTTGAACACAATATTTTTTGTTGAATTAGCTTTTTATTCCCACTGACATCTATTAAATTCTCGACAATACTTTGTTCATTAGAGTTTAGCTTACGGTTTGATGGCAAATAATAGTACACCACCTGAAAGAGAGAGGGTTATAAAATAACAAATAACCATTAAAATAAAAAAAATACAAAAAAGTACATATTACACTTACTTCTGACATTTCATGATTTTCATGTTTCTCCACTAATTGTTTAATTTGGAGAAAATCACCTGTCTCAGTAGCCCGAATTTTGATTATGGCTGGACAATTCATTTTGTAAGTTCTAAAACATACATAAAATACACATTCAACACGGGTCTACCGAAGATTCCCAAATAATTAGGTATATCGATTAAATTCACAGAATAACAAATTAACAATAATAAAATTATTATGTAATTTTACCTTGTTTTACGATTGCCTTTTCCACGTCTTCTTACTGCACCACCATGAACAAAATTATATTGAACTTCGTAATATTTAAGGTCTTCCTTTAATTTACGTTTTAAAATCCTTTCAGCCATTTTAATAGTTCTGCTACCCTTAATCACAAATTTTTGTCTGTTATCTTTTTCATATTGTTTTAAAATGTTGTTAAACTCGTTAAAAGAATTAAATAATTGTCCACACTGCATAATAAATTCAAACAAATCAAAAAATAAGAAATCTTTTTACTAATTAATATTCTAAAGTGTAAACACAACCCGATTAAATAACAAACATACATAACCTCACTCATAGACCTTCTATATATTGTTTAACCTCACTGACACTTACTGTACAAGTAAGCTTGTATCAAAAATACAATATTTTCGCACGCTAAATAATGACATCATCGACTTGATGACGTTTCGCGTGTATCTAACTTTTAGATTTGCGTACAAGTTAGCGTGTACCTAGACACAGCGTAAAATTTCATTCCAACCATATGGGATCATGATATTGTTGTTATAGCAGCCTTAGTTATTTAAATATTAAGGAAAATGAGACTAAGATTAACTTCCATAGCTCTGTTTGTTGTTGTTTTCGTGCCTCTGATAATGATGAGATATGCTGCTCTTTGAATTTGTTATAGTTGAGGGATAGTTGTCGATTGTTGGGTTTTAGATACCCAGACAACTACTGTACCATTGTTAGTTTGCTTAGGTGGTATAGGTCCGTGTAAGTCCATATGACGACTCTGTGAGAGAAAGCTTAGGGTCACCTTACCACTCGGTGGCAGTGCCCTAACTAGGGCGGTGCAAGCGATAGGGCGCAGACCCTGGAGGGTCGCAAAAATTGTTCAACAGTGGCTTTTTTTAAGGGCGAAGTTATAAAGGCTCGCACTGGGCACATAAAACGTTAGTTTGGCACTGATCGGCGGCATTATTTATGACCAATGAATGGTTTTAGACTCATTCTTTTTAGGTGTGCAAAGGTGAGCCCCAGTTACTTCAACCCTCTTGCAAAGTTTACTTTTGAATTTGGAAGGTCTAGACGTCTTAGTAACTTCATTACCTTCATGTTTCTTGTGAAAAGGATGATTTGTGATTTGTGTTTTCTTGGGATTGAGAGATAGTGAAATTATCTGTTCTGTTCTAGAAAGTGAAATTGTCTATTCTGTTCTATAGATTTGAGAACTACTTACATTCTTTCGGAGAATGTGTTCTCAAAATGTCCTGCTTCTAATCTGCAAATGCAAATGCGTCTGAAGAAGATATCAAGGATTATTATGTTCCACAGTAGAAGTAATAGCGCCACGGCAAATAATAATAGCTGTCCCTTTCTCCGAAAAGCTCAGCTTTTGGAGCTAAAATTCACTTGTAGGGGGGTGAATTAGAAATAGTATTATTAATATATTATATATGAATCGGTGATTGTTGAAATGGTAACTTTTTCACAGAAATTATATTTTCAATAAATTACTATACAAAATCATGTCCCCGACCATTTGGTGTTGAAATGAACTAAGTCTTAAAACAGACGTACTGTTAATATGTGTGCTTAAATTGCAGTGAGGGTTGAATGGAACTAAGTCGCGGACTTAGTTCCATTCAGCTCTTACTCATGTATTACCTTTTTAATGCATTGTTGTGCGCAAGCCTTGTTTCCCATCGTCAGTAACTTTAAAATAGCGAGTGAAGTAGGTACAGTGACAATGAGTTACAAAAGAAAATTGAAACATCCTGAAACCTACAAAAGTAACGTTATTAATAAATCCAATATAAAAGGAACTGAATACACAAATTTCGATGGCAAATTAGTTCCTGCAAAAACTATTTGTCAAACATCTAATTTGTAAGTGGTTTTTTTAGGTTAGAAGATTATCTATAGGTAAGTTTGTTACTGTTTACGACAAGCTTGTTTTGAATATTTTGTAATGAAAAACAATAGTAGCGTCAGAGTCTGCCGAAAAGCATTTGCTCAGCTTCATCGTATATTCGAAAAACGTATTCTAGGAATAACCAAGTTGCTTGTTAAAACAGAAACGCCTAAAGATAAAAGAGGCAAAAATCCAAAGACACATTTGGAAATTAGTACGTCAACAGATTTATGACCATATTCAGTCTTTCCCTACAAAAAATACGCATTATTCTGGTCGTTGCATTCAATACTTAGATGCTAGGCTTGATGTTAAAAGAATGTTTGGCTTATTCAAAGGTAAATTCCCTACCACAAAAGTTAAATACGAATTCTATTTAAAAATATTTAACGAAAATTTTGCACTGCGATTTGGTCGTCCACAAATTGATGTCTGCTGTACAGGTGAAGAGCTCTCCGTAAAAATAAAATGTCCACATTTATCAGAAAATGTAAAACTTGCCGCACAGACATAAATGACTTTTCACAAAAGGAGAAGCAAGAAATTTTTTACTGCCCTCAAGAATAACACAGACGAATCGAAAGCAAATCCAAAAATTCTAGGACTTGCATTCGACTTCATGCAGAATTTACCGCTTCCACATACTCCAGTTAGGGACATATTTTATTTAAGGCAATTATGGGTGAATACGTGTTGTATTCATAATATAAAAGACGACAATTCACAGATTTACATGTATCATGAGGGTGTTTCCAAAAAAGATCTATATTTATACAGCGATGAATGCCCCAGGCAAATCGGATCCATACGATGATAAGAATGTGAATTGCACTAGTAGATACCGGAAAATTTCAGAAAATCGTTCACCGTTGTCCTGTTCGGGGATATTCGCTTCTCCCCTGCGATAGGGATTTTGCAGCTTCTAAAAGAAAAATTAAAAAATTGGACAGAGTATTTTTGCCTAATGATTACTGTAGCATAATAGCTAACAGTAAGAAAAACGTAACAGTTAAGATGGTATCTACTGATGATATACTGAATTTAAAAAAATGGTGGCCTCCTTTATACAAAAAGATAGTTCTGTCAGATGATAGTAAAGGCAAAAAGATACCTAAAGAACAGAAACTATCTTTCACGCCATCACAGTTTTATGAATTTTCATATTCCTCGGAGCATCCTGGTAAAGTAGTTACAAATACTTTTATTGGTGGTATTATGAAGAACTCTTTTGATTTATTACAGTGTAGACAACTCAAAATTTGCATTTCTTCTATACCTCAAGCATATCCTGCCGGTAATGTGCCCATGAACAAAAAAAAAACTAGACAATATTAAACAAGTTGTGAAATATGTCAACACTGAAGATGATGAAGCTCAAGCATTTTACGAGGAGATTTTACAGTGGTCAACCTCGGAACAAGAGGTTGAAGATCAATAAATTGGTAGAATTTTAATGTTTTTTTGCACCAAACATGTTTCTCTGTTGGTTTCTTTTTTAGAATTATGTACCGAGTTTCTTTTGTTTGGCTTAACTCTTATTTATTTTTAATAAAGTATATTCGCTTCAGACATATCTACTTAATTTATTTTCACTGATTCTTGAAAAGAACTAAATCCTTCTTTTTAAAAATAAGAAAAGCATACCAAAATTAAAATAAGCAAAATTCCTCTAGGATAACCTACCTATTCTTAGCCAATTTACTTTCATTATACTGGCTGTAGGCTTCAGTGGATCAGATAAGTCCGTTCTAAACAAATGTCTCTCATTTACTCAAACCTTTTTTTAGGACTCAAAAATCACCGATTGATGTATCTAGAGTTTCTGGCATGTCCGTGATCCTAGGGTTGAGAGATTACAAGAAAGGCGACAACATGAAATTTATCTTGAATGTTGACTAACAATGCCAGTTTAAATTTTTTTTAGGTAATAATTGTAGTTAATGTGATATAAATTAGTATTTTACTGCGAGTGTTTAACTATGTGGATTTGGTACCCTTGTAAAGAATACAATTTTTTTGTTATATAAAATTATATAACTAGAAGATGACCTATCTCTCGACCTTACAGTCAATGGAGGTGAACACAGCTCTGCCTGCCTCGTCGCTTGACCTTTAGGTTTCCGAATGCCAAAGACGCCGTAGGATAGTTTTTCGTATCTTAGTGGAATGTGCACCAGTTTACCACGTGCAAACCGGGGTTTTGGCACCTAAATCTTCTCCGCACAACCTCTTTCTCATCATCGTCAATCTTCTCATGCGCTGGAATCCAAATAGAAGCTTCGGTAGTTTAAGAAACCAATCCACATTTACTACTGCGAGTGTTGCTCCTTTCTTTCCATGGTCTCTTAGCCAGTCTAACGTTAGGTCATCGTCGCACGTTAGTAAGTACATCATAGACCTCTAGTTTGATGGCGCACTGTGGCTGCTACTCAAGGCAAATAAAATTGTTTTATTTAGCTCTCCGGTTAGTGCTTTTTTTTATAAATAATTCTTTTCAATAAGTATGTTAATGTAAGGGCTTTCTTTGTCTACACATGCTACTCTAAAATAGCTTATAGAAGCATTTTTTTTCTTGTGCCAAGCAGAACATAAAAAATGTCAAAATGACGAAATTAGGGACACTCATGAAACTATAGTAACTTACCTTACTTTTTTGCTATTTCCTATTTTTATAATGTGTACTAATTTTATTTTACTGAATGCTCTGTAGATAAATTAGAAATTTAATAAACTCAATATATTATCTCTCCTGAAATTAATTAATATCTATCTACTTACCCAAATAAATTATCTCAATTTCATATAAAATTAAGAATAGCAAAGAACATTAAATATTTGAAAATAAAAACACGAAACAAAAACGCATCAACGTCGGTATTTTTAACACACAGCGGCCGTTCAGACCTCATAACAAATATCCCATCATGTTAGCCATAATAAATGACTAACAGACCAAGACAGTGAATGTCTGGGATTCCAAGGCACCCCTTGTCATTTCGCCGAGAGAATTTGATCATTGTCCGATCCGATTGGTCCGACTGTACTTTTCAATAAGTAACTAATGAGTTTTACTACGTTTACACAAGTGATAAATCGATCGATTAAATCGAATGATCAGAGGTTGTAAACATCTAGTATTTTCCTGTACAAGGTGGCCCAATGAAAACTTGACATGAACCTTTTGGTAATAATATTGTCAAATAATATATTTAGGGTTCATGTACTATAGGTAAAATAGTTAAATAATTATTCATTTATTAAAAAATATTTATCTCATAATATTTAATTATTATTTTCATTTTTCACATTCATTGTTTAGTTTATTTAAAGATAATATTTCTAAAGAGGAAGTATAAATTCAGGTTTCTTAATTAATTGATACTTTTATGGAAATTCGTTGAACTTACAAAGACAGCAGAAAACGCGGTTCAACGAATTACCTGATCAAGCAAAAGTGCATGAATCCGAACTTTCTTTATAAAATATTAAATATTATTAATGACTAATGACAGAGGAGTAGATAACATCACATCCAGATGGATGGCTCAGCTGTTATCTTCGATAACTGCAGAGACACAGATAGGGCAGGACACCATCTCCATCTGCACAACCAGAAGATGTCCACAAGGAGGAGTTCTATCCCCACTTATGTGGAGCCTAATCGTAGACGAACTTCTGTGCAGATTGACTGACCTCGGCATACCCTGTCAAGATTATGCCGACGACATAGTCATATTTGCTAGTGGCAAGTTTAGTAATATCCTGTGTGATATAGTCCAAAGAGGACTAGAACATACCAAAAGATGGTGCCGTGAAGTGGGACTTAGTATAAGCCCTACAAAAACAACACTAGTAGCCTTTTCAAGGAAAAGAAAACAATCTCAAAACCGTTAAATTAGACGGGATATATATAGAATGGAAAAATGAAGTCAAATATCTAGGCCAAACCCTGGACAAGAAACTTCTCTGGAACACACATGAGAAGGAAGTAGTAAATAAGGCCACAAAAGCCCTAATGGTATGCAGAAACATGGAGGGTAAACGATGGGGATGTAACCCAAACATACTGCGATGGATGTATACTGCAATAGTGAGACCAATCATCACTTACGGGGCTATAGCCTGGAGTAACAGAACTAGTTTAGTTACTTCGAGAGCTAATATCTCAAAAGTACAAAGACTAGCCTGTGTTTGCATTACTGGTGCAATGAGAACCTGTCCTACGGCCGCAATGGAGGTGATCTTAAACCTCACCCCTCTACATTTGATAATAGAGAATGTGGCAAAAAGGACACGATATAGAATGATCAGGAGCGGAGTAATCAGACGAAAGTCTACTTGCTTCAGGACTAAAGATACCTGGGACATGCCCCAGGATGAAATGCAAAAGAAGTACAGTTTTGTGAAAAACTTCAAAACCACAGAGCTGGGCTGCAAGAAAGAATGGAGCCAAGAATACATCGCGCTTGCAACCGAAAGACGTGCTATTCAGTGGTACACGGACGGTTCCAAAACCATAGAAGGAACTGGAATAGGAGTGTATGGGCCGAGAACCAAGCACTTCGAAAGCTTGGGAAAATACCCAAGCATCTTCCAGGCGGAAATTCACGCCATCGAGAAGTGTATCCAGTTTAACATCGAGAGAAACTATCATAGACAAGAGATTATCATCATGTCCGATAGTCAAGCAGCCATCAAAGCGCTGAGTTCTTACGTAATCAGCTCAAAAATGGTATGGAGATGCCTAGAACAATTGAATGAGCTAGGCGAGAAAAATAGAGTTACTCTCACTTGGGTCCCGGTACATAACGGGGTACAGGGTAACGAGATTGCAGATAGTCTTGCAAGGAAAGGGGCTCAAACACCCTTTGTAGGACCTGAGCCGTTCTGCGGTATCAGCAGTAATATAATATTAGAAGAGATTAAAAAAGAATTGGGTAGTAGAAGAACCGATAATTGGAACAATCTCTTGGGGCTGAGACAGGCCAAGAAACTTCTGGGTGAATATAACCAAAAAAGATCGGAAGCCTGCATCTGCCTGAGCAAGAACAGGCTACGTATTGTAACAGGGATCCTTACCGGGCACTGCCGACTAAAAGGACACCTAAGTAAACTGAGAGTAGTAGAGGATAGTGAGTGCAGATTCTGTGAGGAGGAAGACGAAACCTCCATTCACATCCTAACTGAATGTGTAGCACTCCAGAATCCAAGGGCACTATATCTAGGAGGATATCAAATAGAAGAGGGAGACTTACCTAACTTGAAGCCACTTCAAATCCTACACTTCCTTGAGAAAATAGGATTGGAAGGGTCGCTATAGGCATTGAGACATTTCCTTAATGCAGTGGCGACAGAAGGGGACACAATAGATCTTTTAGGTCGCAGTGTATTAACACCCCATTATCAACATAACATAACATAATGACTTGGTTTTGAAGAGCGACACAAGCACCATCCCTCTTAGAATGGTGTACTCTTGGTAAGTACCTCATTAATGTTATTTTTATAATTAAACAATGAATATTGTCTTTTTCCTTATTTAAATCAATAATTTACTTAGTAAATAAATAATTTCAATTAATATTATGTTCTATTAAAGTTCTACCATCTAGCTATTAACCCCTCAGCTCGTTTAGGGAACCATAAAAACCCTAAACGCGGCAATATCGTGGATGTTAAAAAAGGCTCGGGCTGGTCGATTTTTTTTTAATATCACTTGAAGGTTGAGGTATAAATAAAATGTGTACGTCCTGAGCCTATACTACGTTCTGCAAATTAAAATACTACACTCCTTTCTTCTCTAGCAGGGCCGACGAGAGGAGGGGGTAGCCGGGACTAATTCCCGGGGCCCGGGTTCAAGTGGGGGCTCGGTAGCTACATAAGGGGCCTCGGTAGCTTTAGCTGGGAAGGTTTTTTATTTTGTTAGAAGTTCGCCGCAAGAGCACAAGGGGGAGGATTTTTATTTGAGATTTTACTAGAAAGGAGGAGAAGTTTTTGCTGAGGAACCTTTTTTTTAGAGATTTCACTAGGAAGGATGAGAAGTTTTTGCTTGAGGGCCTTTTTTTTAGAAATGTGTAATTAAAAGGGCTTAATTTTTTATAAAAATTTTCCGGGGCCCGACCTGGCTCTCGGCGGTCCTGTTCTCTAGATTATAGCAATGTTTAAACGCCTAGTTAAAATAAAAGAAATATTTTAAATATGTCGCCACGGAGTTCTCTAGTTGAATGTTATGATAAGCTGTGGTTAATTGCCAGATGGCATGTAAGTTTGGATTATGTTTTCTAGTCCTTAATAATACACTTTAAAATATATTAGCTGTATTGGATTATAAAAGG